AGCCTTTTTTTTTCTCTCTGTGGGCCAGCGAGGGTTTTGTTTTAGGAAATGGAAGTGTCAATGTGGACAAACTGTTCTGAAGTATTTATAGAATAATGTGTAGTTTCTTTAAACTGCCTTTGGACAAAGAATAATGAATGGAGAATAAGATCTGAATTTCTTTCACTGTCTTGTGTCATCTGAACTGTATTATGTTTAAAACGATTTAGCACTGTGATATGTACAGAGTGTGATAGGAATGTAGTATAGCTACAGTGTGGTGTGCCAGTGACTTCCCAATTAATTTTAAGAGCGCTTTTATTCATTAAGGATACGACGTCTTTGTCACATTGATTCATTTTCTCCAATATTATCAGATGCTTTTTAACTTGGCAGTGTTTTTATTTTCTGATGAATAAAAGTTTTCAATTTTTATATAGTCAAATATAAAATTTGACTATATAAAATATAGTATTTTTGTTTGTGACTTTTTAATGCTTTGAAAATCTATCTCCATTATAGGGTTACAAATACTTCTTATAGTTTCTTTATTCTTTTATGGTTTCACTTTTAATATTTAACTCTCTAAGCCATTTGTCATTTGTTCTGTGGTAAGGAATACTGAGAATCTAATCAAGTTACCATTTTACCCCCACGAAATTGATGAATTACCCTTTCTCATTTGTTGCATATGCCATTCTGTTCTCCCAGATTTGTGATTTATGATAAATTGCATCACTTCCTAAATTATGGTTTCAAGTCTCATTCTCTATTCTGTTCTGTTAATGACTGTCACTTCTGCTGGTACCACATTGTTTTTATTATTGTAGTTGCATAATGTCTTTTAGTGCTTGGTAGTAGGAGTATCTCTTCATAACTTTTTTTTTAACAAAAAATTCGTGGCTATTTTTACCAGTTTAACTCTTCCAAATGCATTTTGGAAAATCCCACTGGAATTCTGACTGGAGTTGCATAAACATATAAATTAATTTGGAAAGATTTCATATCCTTACAACTAACTATTCAATCTTCTTGTTCTTTCCAATATTCAAATATTCTCTATATTTAGGTAAGTCTTTTATGTCTCCCAATCGAGTTTTATAGTTTTCTTTCAAAACAGATTCCACATATTGATTTACATCGTCTACATTTTTGATTTTTATACTGGGAATGAGATGGAGCTGCTGCTAACTCTGGAGAAACTTTCTGCTGATTTTTTAATCTTTGGACATGATCCTGACTATTCTCCTGAGTCACGGATTATCTTAGATTTGAAAACTGTAGGAAGCAAAGGACAAGAGGAACGTGTTGTGGGGATGTAGTAGAGTCTGTTTTACATTCATAGTGAGAAGACTCTGGACCTCCCAGGAGGGCTCTAACGGTTAAAAAACATGCAACCAAAAGCACCGAGGATTAGTAAAAAGGAGAAATAATGGGCTAGTAAGTGCTCAGAGGGATGACTCACTGCATTGGATCATCCTTGGGAAACCACCTACTAAGCAGAATTTAGCAGCTAACGTGTTATTTTTGGTGCACAGTTTACTGCTACTTCCTCTTGGGAAAAAAAGTTTAATCCTAGCTCCCTAAAACACATAAGAATGGTCATTCTGACAAACCAGCCTGTCAGGTAACAATGCTGTTTCTAGAACACGGCAAGATTGGGTCTCTAGTAGAGATTTCTTTAGAACAAGCCAGAAGCACTTTACGACATGTTATGGAAAGGAGTATAGACCAGGAGACAGAAGACCCAGCTCTTAATGCTGGCTCTGTAACTGATTAACAAATAAACCCCAGAGTGCAGGCAGGCCACTTAATCTCTGCTCATGTGTAACAAACCAGATATCACAGCTTCTGTCCTACTCCACATCACAGATGAAAATAACACAAAATAATAAACCATGTGAAGGAAGCAGTTAGAACTGCTGAGAAATAAAATTAACCGGCTCAGTAAAAGTAAGGCTCCTAATCAAGAACAAATAGAATGAACTCTTACTTGTTCCAAAGTTACTCATTTTTGCTTAATACTGTATTACCTTCTTCTCTGCCCTGTGGTTTCTTTCCCCTGTTTCATTGTGACTAAATATGCAAGGAAAATTAAATGCTGTTATTTTGGTCCTATCTCTGGATGAAATCTCTAGATTTAATTTACCCCTAATACCTTACTGTGCTATTTACAAAGATCACTAAGAAAACGAAGTTAGGAAAATGACAAATAATGGAATAAATGCGTTTCCTTATTTAGGTGAGGGAACTTTGGTTGAGGAGATTCTGTAACTTAGACATAGTCAGGCATGTGATAAGAGCAGGAGCTGTAATCAGTTTTGCTAATCATGATTTTTTAACAATACTATTTTATCAAGTATTTAAATGCAATCTACCATAGCACATCTAAAAAAAGTTATAACTTTTTTTTTTTTTTTTTAGATGGAGTCTTGCTCTGTGGCTCAAGCTCGAGTGCAGTGGTGCAATCTCGGTTCACTACAACTTCTGCCTCCCCAGTTCAAGAAATTCTCCTTCTGCCTCAGCCTCCCAAGTAGCTAGGATTATAGGTATGCACCACCATGCTAATTTTGTTTTTTAGTAGAAATGGGGTTTTTCCATGTTGGCCAGGCTGGTCTCGAACTACTGACCTCTGGTGATCTGCCTATCTTGGCCTCCCAAAGTGCTGAGATTACAGGTGTGAGCCACTGCACCCAGCCAAAATATGTTTATATAATGTGAAATATATTAATATTATATATGTACATCTATATAAAATACTAGAAATAAGGATATAATGAAGATGTTGATATGTTATCTGTGAGTTACAGATAATTTTCATTCTCTTTTTTTTTATTGTCTGTATTTTCCTTTTTTGTTTTTTTTCAAGATGGACTCTCGCTCTGTCGTCCAGGCTGGAGTGCAGTGGCACAATCTTGGCTCACTGCAACCTTGTCTCCTGGGTTCAAGTGATTCTTCTGCCTCAGCCTTCCCAGTAGCTGGGATTACAGGCACCCACCACCACACCCAGCTAAGTTTTGTTTTAGTAGAGATGGGGTTTTGTCATGTTGGCTAGGCTGCTCTGGAACTTCTAATCTCAGGTGATTCGCCACCTCAGCCTCCCGAAGTGTTGGGACTACAGGCTTGAGTCACCGTGCCCAGCCTGATTGTTTGTATTTTCCTAAATCAAACTTCAAAAATTTTGCTAGCATATTACTTTTTAATATGAAAATACAATAAAAGTTGTTAAAAATGCAGCCATATGTTGCTTCACTTATGGTTTTGGAAAGAGACGAATATGGGCCGGGCGTGGTGGCTCATGCCTGTAATCCCAGTACTTTGGGAGGCCGAGGCGGGTGGATCACGAGGTCAAGGGATGGAGGCCATCCTGGTCAACACAGTGAAACCCCGTCTCTACTAAAAATACAAAAAATTAGCTGGGCATGGTGGCGCCTGCCTGTAATCCCAGCTACTCAGGAGGCTGAGGCAGGAGAATTGCCTGAACCCAGGAGGCGGAGGTTGCGGTGAGCCAAGATCGCCCCATTGCACTCCAGCCTGGGTAACAAGAGTGAAACTCCGTCTCAAAAAAAAAAAAAAGAAAGAAAGAGACGCATATGTAGACATAAAAAAATAAAAGCTTCAGGAGGGATTTCTTCTATACTGTACTTAAGACTATGCGGCCACAGAGAGCTGTCAGGTTTTACAGACCTACAGGTTAATAGCAACTGAATGTTTTACTCAAAAACTCCTTTTGAATTTAGAAAACAATTTGGTCTGATGTTGGAATATTAAGAAAATAAATGTCTACTTCCAATAGAAAGGATAATTACTGACCAGTTAGACTTGATGATCATCACTGGTAGTCTTGGCATTGAAACTGAGGAATACATTTTCTTTGAAAATGAAATTTAAATTCTTTCTAACTATAAAATAACTTCTGACAACTTCTGTCGAGATTCAAATCCTGAAAGGAATGTCAAAGAAATATATTAGAGACTTTCCCCTTAAGATCACTATTTTTTTATTTTTTATTTTTTTGTTGAGATGGAGTTTCGCTCTTCTTACCCAGGATGGAGTGCAATGGCACAATCTTGGCTCACCGCAACCTCCGCCTCCTGGGTTCAGGCAATTCTCCTGCCTCAGCCTCCTGAGTAGCTGGGATTACAGGGACGCGCCACTATGCCCAGCTAATTTTTTGTATTTTTAGTAGAGACGAGGTTTCACCATGTTGACCAGGATGGTCTCAATCTCTTGACCTCATGATCCATCCGCCTCGGCCTCCCAAAGTGCTGGGATTACAGGCGTGAGCCACCGTGCCTGGCCAAGATCACTATTTTTAAGAAATTAAATAGATAAAAACCAGTGTGACCTAAAAAATGTTGAGTAGATAACTTTTCTTCAACATCGACAGCTAATAATAATAATAAATGCAATTTACTAAACACTTACTACAGGAAAGGGGCTGCTTTGCTCTGTTTTACATATGTTGTCTTATTTAATCCTAATGACAATCTGCTAGGTAAATGTCATTATCCTCATTTCAAAGGGAGAAACTGAGACTTAGGGAGGTTAAGTCAAGATCAAATACCAAATTGTAAAACTCTACCATCTACTATTCAATAGCAGCCAACGACATGGCCAATGGTATACATGATGATTATCATGTTTTGGGGAAGCAGAAAAAAAGTGAGTCTTCAGATAAATTTCAAAATTTGATCACTTGCTGAAAGGCATTGAAAAAAAAAGAAAGTCTGTACTGTGTTCGTTAATCTCATCTAATTAAGTAGAGCCCTTTAAAGCTTACAAAGGATTAAGAGTATCAGTATTTAATATATTACAAAAAACATGTCGGTATAATTTGGTAATAGACATTGTAGGCATTGCTCATAAAATGCACCTTCAGATGGTGTAATTTTAGCTATAACTAATGTATACTTTAGATTACTTTGGTTTTGCATGCTAAGAAGTTTAAAAGACATTTTCATTTTCTTTATATGAAAATTTATTAATTTATCAAAAGATAGAAAAAATAAACTTTTAGTATATCTTTGGCAATATTTTTACTAACATCAGTATATTTTTAAAATAAAATGATGTATTTCAGAAGATTTACCTGGAAGTAGGAAGGCCTTGACACCAGGGAGGAGGCTGCAGGCTGAGCACAGGGCAGCTGAGTGACTCTGCCATGCCAATCCCACGTCCCACTACTGAACAAAGTTTTACTGTCTCATGTCTTACTGACCCACTCATTTGAGGCTGAACTTTTTTGGTACCTTTGACCACTTGTTTGGGAGTTTTGCCAGTGGCCAGATAGAAGGATGCTTCAGAGCAAATTGGGGTCTGCCTCACTGAGTCTTCCTTTGTGCCTCCTCTGACAGGGAGCAGGACAACACACCCTGTGTTGACCCTCCAGACTGGGCAGGAACCTCAGTCCAGCTCTGCCATTGACCGGCTGTGACCCTCGTGGCCAACATTACTCTGAGACTCAGTCTCTTTAGTCTATTCCAGAGTGGGTTCCTTAAATGCCTTGAAGGAACATCACTTACCTACTAAAGTATAATAAAAATGTCCACAAATTAAATATGTCTTCTTTACTGGTGCTTGAAGATGTTTTTTGGCACCCCAGAGTTAAACAAACACTGGATGCCAATGATATGCAGAAAATTACTACTTTTGCTTTTTAAAGAGAATCACCATATCTCATCAAATCTAAGATGCCACCAACTGACTGCAATTCGCATTCTGATTTTAGAAATAAATGTGAAAAAAATGTAGATCTTAGAAACACTGCAATTGTTAGAATAGCTGGCAAAATAGCGATTTTCTTGTTGAGAGGTGATAAAATGCTTCAGCTATACTGTATTCAGACTTGCCTGATGTTACCCTGGTACTTATATCTTCTGCTTCTTTATGGATATATTTAATATTTCATTCAGTGAATATGGATTTACTGAAAATATTTTCTCAAAATATTTAAAAAAAAGTCTCGGAGCTTTGGAGAACACACATAGAAAGCTGCCTGCCTAAAGTTCTTGAAATAAAAAAAGTACACGAGATAGATTCTTTGCTAAGCACTTCTCAGTTACAATGAGCATTTCTTGATAACCAATGAACAACAGCGACATTACTGAACATTTGTTCTGAAAAGGCAGTAAAAAGGACTATGGGATAAACTCTTCCAACATAACTTTGTGACCAGATCCTGTCTGAGGAGCTTGTTAGGAGACTGACAAAAATAGTCTCAATTAAACGCTATTCTCTTCCTTTAAGAAAAGCTCTCTTGCTCAGCTATATTACTGGACAGCATGGCTTTGGTGCTTAAAGCTTTCCTGTTCTCACTGGAAAATTGGAGTCAGTGCCTTAGGCACCACCACGCCGAGGCACCCTCATGCTTAATGATCACATCAGACTATGCAGGCTTCAACCACTTTAAACAATTTCCTTTGTCTCCCTTTCCTTTTCTGTAAATTTTTTTGTTGTTTCGTTGTTATGGGTAGTGACAGTTTCTGGTTTCTTTCGTTTACCAACGGTTTCCTTTACCACAGCCTCTATTCCTCCTGCTGGAAGCCTGGCATGATTGGAAGCTGGAAGAAAAACCACAACTGAATAGGCTGGCACTTACATTAACAGTCATTTCCAACCACAGATTAATACTGTTACTGGATTTGACTAACGGCTCTCAATCAGACCAACTGTCATCACTTGAGAACATGCTAGTCAGTGAAAGCCAAAAAGGAAAATATAAGCAAATCCAAATCATGGTATAATTTTTCTGACTGCTCATCTTTTGAATCCAAAGGTATTTATCTCTCTAAATATCTTATTCTGGGTTCTCCTTGATAATACGTTTAATGTATAGATCAAGAGATAATACACCACTCAGCTGCAACTGGTGGGAGGCTGAAGTCAGGAGGTAAGGGTTGCCACAGGCACTGGCTAGCGTAAGAGGGCAGCTGCTCGGCTGCCCACGGAATGTATATGTATCCTGCCCCTTGCTCTGCCCACCTTTGGAAATGGCACTGGAAATGGCTGGTGTTCAAGTGTGCTAAGTAGCTAGCATCAAAGTGCAAATGAAAGGGGGGCCCTCTTGGAGGTTCTTTGTTGATAACAGTGGTGTTGAATGCTAGCAAACAGGAACCAGGTTTTTCTCTTTATCATTCCCCTTGACATAGTAGACTTTAGGTCCAGTGCAGCAGATAGGATTTTTCAAAAAGAAAAAGATACAAAAGAAGGATGGTGTAGCACAGGAGATAGTATATGACTGGCATAAATAAAATAAGAGTCTGTCCCAACTTGGAGCTTCCAGTATCAACAGAAACTCCATTTTGTATGACTGAAGGCTTTGAAAACCATTAATGATCCCAGCTTTTGGTCCTGACAGAATCTAACCTACAGACAGAGAGAAGAGAATTCGGATGACTGTTACTTTCTGGGTCTTACTCTGGTGTTTCACACAAATTTAATCCCTTCTTAAATCTTCCTTCTTAAAAATGTATTGAATGGCATTCATTTAATACACTCTGGAAGGAAAATAAAGTAGAAAAATCTTTCTGGAGAGCAATTTGGCTCTATCTATCAAAGGACTTAGGGTTTTTAATATGCTTTGTATCACTATTCCACTTCCGAGAGTTAGTCTTAAAGGAATAACCATGAGAACGCAGAAAACTTTACTTATAAGGGCAGGCATCACAGCTTTCCTTAAAGAAGTCTTGCAAATTTCATTCACTCAACCAGCATTTACTACGTGCCTACTATGTGCCACAGAATACTTAAATACAAATAAGTAAGATCCAGATATGTTTTTATAAAAGAAATGCAGATTACAAAAAAGCATGATGTAATTTTATAAGAAATTAAAATGTTATAATGCACAGGAAACAGTTAAAAGATAACTATTAAACCATTAGTAATAGTCATCTCTTGGTCACTGGTTTATGGTTTATTTTTCTTTCCTCTTTCTTTTTTTATTTTTAAAATAACTATCTTGTAAAGAGCCATTTTGACACCATGTAAATCTCCTGATCAAATTTCCACTCAGTAGTTTTAGCATCCACTGATGATTTTTTAATCTGTCACTCACTCTGTATTTATTGGTTGTCAGTCTATGGTAAGTCAAAGCTCTCTTTTCTCCCATTTTATTATAACCCTTTACTGTAATTATGTATTTTGATGTCCAAATTGTTTCATATTAGTCCAGGGGTTCCTTCAAGCTAAATTCTGTGCCTTTTTGATATGTTCCCATATTTTTGAGCATGTTCTTACTTTCTGATACAATATACTATAGACTTATACTCTTTACTCTTTTTTAAAAGTTCTACAACAACCATGTACACTTTTGTTAAATGAAAGAACATAATACATAATATTTTAAAAATAATCATACATAAGATGAATACATTATACAGATTTTTATAAGATTAAAAAAAAAGTCCAGATTGCTGATCCTGGACTTTTGTCTTTTGCATTGTATTCCTGGACCATGTAAATGGTCCAGGAATATTAAAACAAATGGGCCTTTTCTTTGAGTTCCACTTGAGATGGGAGAGGGTAGCACCTCTCCCATCTCAAGTGGTTTCATTACAAACCAGTATGAAAGGAAATTATGTCCAGTGAGATCATTAAATGTGTAACTCACTGCTCTTTACTTAATTAAAACCAGTGAGCCAGCCACACAGCCTTAGATAAGAAAGGTAACAGTTAAAGTACATTCTGTTCAATTAATTAATGTCTCATAGCCAAATGTCTCTGTCTCGCCCCTTAGAAAACTGCATAGAAAAATGGTGAGACACCATCATTTTCATCTGAGTGATTGAGTTTCTTCCTGCTGACTGTTTGGAGTTCCCCTATGAGCTGGCATAAGGTACTCTTTCCTGTGGCTCAGAGTAACATTCTGAGAGCCTGGGAGACTGCCCTCTGGATTCTGTGAGGAACTATGGAAAACAAAGGAAGACCAAGTAGGAGCTCCCAAGTCCTCCTTTGTGGAATGGTCAGCTGACCCCATGCCTCAACCCCAGAACCCTGCCTAGTTTCTTTAAATCTTAGTTGGGTTTCCTTAAATTCACTTGCATACTCAGCCTTTTGCCAGACTCTAGGACCAGCTCTGGCCTTTGTGGTAACTGTGGTGGGATGCAGGAGGAAAGACATAAGGAGCTCTGCAATGATAACTCATCATTTGACTACTGAGTCATTTCGCCATGCCATCCAGCCTGCGGTGACTTCAGTTCATGCTCTGTACCTCAGGCTCAAGGCTCTATCTAGAATCCCAGTAGTCCAGGTCCTTGGCCTTTGACACTGAATTCTTCTAATGTCTTATGTTACCTCCAGCAAGAAGCCATCCTTTATCCTGTTCTAGAAAAATGATACACCAAAGTAACAAAATTATGAACAGGAAATTCAATGGCTAAGTCTCACTGAACATGTACAATGCAAAAGGCAAAAGTGAAGTGCTTTACACATACTCTTTAACCTCAGATCAATGCTATGAGGGAGAGATATATTAATATCCTCATTTTACAGTTGAGGAAATTGAGGTTGAGGGACAGTTAATAATAGCTCATCATCATTGAGCCAAGAACTGATAGAGACAAGACTGGGCGCGGTAGCTCATGCCTGTAATCCCAGCACTTTGGGAGGCTGAGGTGGGTGGATCACGAGGCTAGGAGTTCAAGACCAGACTGGCCAACATGGGACATCCCACCTCTACTAAAAAATAAAAAAATTAGCTGGGCATGGTGGCTTGTGCCTGTAATTCCAGCTACTCAGGAGGCTGAGGTAGGAGAATTGCTTGAACCGGGACCTGGGAGGCAGAGGTTGCAGTGAGCCAAGATTGCACCATTGCACTTTACAGAGCAAGACTCCATCTCAAAAGAAAAAAAAAAGAGAAATGATAGAGACAACTAGTGGCTCTCATGACCACTTCACTCTATTGCATTGTTTGGCTATGACTACGTAACTGCTAGAGGACTTGAGACTCAGGTTGAACAAAAAAAAAAAAATTTTTTTTTGAGTCAGGGTCTACTTCTGTCACCAAAGCTGGAGTGCAGTTGGGTGATCACAGCTCAGTGCAGCCCTGACCTCCTGGGCTCAGGTAATCCTCCCACTTCAGCCCCCAAGGCAGCTGGGACTATAGGCATGTACCACCATAGCTCACCAATTTTTTGTAGAGACAGGGTTTAGGCATGTTGCCCAGGCCGGTCTTGAACTCCTGGGCTCAAGTTATCTGCTTGCCTCAGACTCCCAAAGTGTTGGGATTACAGGCGTGAGCCACCACACCTGGCCAAATCCCAGGTTTTTAAAAGTAAAAATGAATGAATGGGAATAACACTGGTAAACCTGATGTTGAAACTAAGTAGTGTTCTTCAGTTGGTTCTAAGAAAAGAAAGAAGCAATCCCAAGGAGCCTGTAAGTCCATGAAGAACTTGGAACAGGTTTGCCATATAGCACACTCCAGTAGTTCATTCACCCATTCAGCACATTTGGAGTCTGTGATGTGCTCATCACTATGCTGAGTGCAGGGAATACAGAAATAAGACTGACATGGTCCCTACCCTTGTGAGGCTTACAGTTTAGGGAGAAAGAAAGAAATGATTAAATAAGTGGTAAGTGTTATCAAGAAAGTAAGACAGGCTGGTAGAGAATGATAGAAAATGCCTCTTTAAGGAGGTAGTATTTAACCTAAAGAATGAAACAGAGGAGTCAGGGCTGTTGAGGTCTATTCACTTTCTTTTTGTCTTTGGTGTAGCTGGAATTTTTGAGTACTCTTCAAGGGAGCTTTATGACTTGGGTTCTGTTAACAAGTCGACCACGATTTTATAATCCATGTGCTTTATCACGAACGCTTTCCTTCACCCTGTTCAAAACATCACAAATGTGATATAAATGGGACACTTACTATTCAGTCTAAAACAGTCCTCATTTATTTATTTATTAAATACTGAAAAATCCCTTTAGAATCAGGGATAAGAGGAAAGGTCTTTGTGTTTCGCAGAGTTCATCCAAGTGTGCTATTTGTTTCTTCCCTGTGGAACTGCCATATCAGCTTTAAGAAAGATGATGAAAGAAAAGAAATGGGCCGAGAAGGACCTAAGGAAACCAGGCCAAGCTTGCTGTTCATGTGGACCCTTAGGGGGAGAATGGAAGGCAAAAGCAGAGAACTGGGTCCAATTTTCTTTCTCAGTGCTATCTGTGCAGTGGTCAGATGTGGCACTCACAACCAAAAGTTTTTGAAACAGCACCGGTGAGTCCTGATCAATCTCTTTCAAATTTCTGAAGCTGATACATTTTATTATCTCATGAGTAGAGATACTGAAGATTCCTCTTAAGGCAGGAGGGGAAGACCTAGGATCCCTTTCTTTGCTATAATCTAACTGCATTTTCCCTGGGAGAACAGAAGTTCCCCATGGATTTGTGGGGTTGGGACAAGTGGCCATTTACAGCTAAGAAGGGAGTATTTTTGAGGTTTAGAGAATTCAAATCATGATTATTACTTCATGTTCAAAGACTGCAATAAAAATGGCTATGCACCCTTCATGGAGCAATCTGACGTTTTGAGAGTCTCTACTCCCTGGCTTCTGGAAATCTATTTTCCCTCCATCCCAGTATTTCCTTTAACTGTTGAATAATTAACCCTAAGTGACTAACCTAGTCTCACAGGAAGAAGGCTTGTGAAATCTGCATGTAATAAGTGTAGATTAAGTAATGTGTACAGTCTGGGAAGGTCAAAATTCCTTTCCCAAGGCCTGGTCCACGCTGAAAAAGATGAAGGAAAGCTCATACTTTAATTACTGGAGCAGCCATTTCATTGGTTCACACATCACCAGGACCTTAGAGGTTTCTTCTATCATACAGAAGTCACCTGGATCAGCACTCTTGCCTCTCTTCTTTGTCTGCCAGTGGAACTCCACCACCCGAGGCTGCCCATGTGGGCCTCCAGATTGTGAGGCCACAGGGTCAGATATGGGGCCTGGCGCTGCACTGCCACAGGGCTGCGTGTCCAAAGAGGCAAGCAGCCAGGCAGAGCCCTCTCTGTCACAGCGTGGCCACCTGTCTGAGAGGGAAGACAAATCCCATTTCATTGGGTTTGGCATGGAAAGCAAATTGTCCACCCCCACACGCAAAAGCACTTGAGTGGCAGAAGGAAAAGTACACACCCCAGCTGCAAATATAACAGTGGGTCTCTTCAGGATGAACCTTCTGGTTAATCTGGTTTGGAGTCTATGGTGTTTTCACTCAACTCTCATGGGTTTTTAAGCTGTATTACAGCTCCCAGGCTTTTAGGATAATTCTCTTAATGAAGTAATGAAATGCCAAAGAAGTGGCATCATAGGGCTTTGCCCTTTCCTGCTTTTTAAAGGCCATCAAAATCATCATTCTCTAACATACTCATACAGGAAAAAGATGAGGCTTATCTTGTTTTTAAGCTATTGTGTTGCCAGCATTTCCATCGTACAAGAAAGATAAGTAAATGCTTGCAAAATAAAGTCTGACCCAAGCTTCACCTGATATGCAGTTTCTATCTTGCTGAGTGCACATGATAATAAGATTTCAAATCGGCATTAGAAACCATGGTTCAATCCAGAAATGTGCTCCTGCAACCCTGTGGGGAATCCTGATGACTTCACAGTGAAGCCAGCGTCACAAACAGGATTTCCTAAAGAGGTCTTAGGGTAAGGAAGCTTCATTCTAACTTTGGCTCTGCCATCTGGGCAGCACTGCTGCTCCTCCTCTCCTGTAAACAGGCAGTTGGAGGGGGCCAGAGGCACTCCTTCCTACTGTTCCTCATGGCTCTCACTTCCCTTTCATCTTTGGTAATAGCTGGAATTTATGAGTATGTTAGATGACCTTCTAAGTCTTTCCTTTGCAGTTTATTTACTTAGTGGATTCTCCTTAGAGTAAGGCTCCATCTTTTGATGGTTCTCACCCCAGCTGTATTTGTCCAAAGGTGTGGCTTTATCTGTATGGCATTTAGCTGAATGGAAAGAGTCATAAAGACTGTATGTGATTCATATAATCCAACAGTGATTGTGCATACATGACACTATTTCCCAACTTATACCTCCTTCCTGTACAGCCAGGTCTTGCTTTTCTGAGAATGCACTGCTATTTCTGTGGCTTGCCTCATGAAATTCTTGTTAAATATCTAATTAAACATCTCCAACATCCAGCTCAGGACTAACTTTAGGAAGTCCCTATTATTCTAGTTTGGGGTAATATTTAACTTTTCTAAGCTCTTAACAGTTTAAAAAATCTGTACCATGTGGCTTAGCACTTACATATACATGGTCTGATACTGCTTGCTACTTATTAATGCTAACACATCATGCACATTTTTATTTGCTCGTGTAGGTTATAACCTCCCTGAGACTCAGTCTTCATGATTTTCCTATCTTCCACCGTGCCCAGAATGATTGTAAGCACCTGGTAGGTTTCTTTCTTTTTTTTTTTCAGACAGAGTCTCTCTGTTGCCCAGGCTGGAGTGCAGTGACACAGTCTCAGCTCCCTGCAGCCTCTGCCTCCCAGGTTCAAGCGATTCTCCTGCCTCAGCCTCCTGAGTAGCTGGGATTACAGGCGCCTGCCACAACATCTGGCTAATTTTTGTATTTTTAGTATAGATAGGGTTTCACCATGTTGGCCAGGCTGGTCCTGAACTTCCAATCTCAGGTAATTGGCCTTCCTCGGCCTCCCAAAGTGCTGGGATTACAGGCATGAACCACCACACCTGGCCAGCACCTGGCAGGTTTTCAAAGAATATTTGCTCATTCATTAATTGAGATTAATGGGATTCTTCTGGAAGTTCCATTTCCTTATTATGCAACTGAGTTAAATACGTAAGTGTAAACATTAGAATTACCAAAGGAATAATGCTAGGACCAGTACTGACTTAATATGCTTATACTGTTTTGATTAGTAAAATGACATGACACCTCTGAATTTAAAATTAAGTGCTTTCTGGGAATATAACATAAAAAATGACTAAACTCTACTGAAGAAAAATCTTGAGACTTTGTGACTGAAGAGCAAGATGGCAAAATGTTTTGAAAAAGGCAAGGAGCAAACTATGCATTTGGCCCATGTTATGCCAAAGCCACTCATAGCGATGGGCTCTCACCCACAGGCTGCAATGTGTTCATTAATGTATTCATTACTCATTTAGTTGGTGGCCACTTTATGCCATGCTCTGTTAGGTACTAGCTATACAGTGGCAAGCAAAATAGAAATGGTCTGGTTTATAGTTTCATGAGTGATAGAGCAAACAGGTTTTAAGCCAGAAAACACTAAAATAAATATAAGTACAAACTGTGCTAAGTTATGAAGGAAAAAAGCCAAGGTGTTGTGAGAGTGAATTCCCAAAAGTACTGATCTTATTCTGGGTTAGGAAAGGTCTCTTTGTGGAAATAACATTTAAGATGAGATTGGAAGAATGAGATGGAGCAGCCAGGAGGTGAGTTGAGGGGGTGAGTGGGCGGTGTTCCAGGCAGATGACTCCAAGAATCTCTGCAGGCAGTTTCTTGAAAGGACCGATATAACTGCTGCTTCTGCACAGCAAAGCCAATAAACTTATGGATCCAAATAAGAAGAATATAGAAAATTCATAAACTCATTCAACACATCTTTATTGAATGCTATGTGCTAGATATAGTTCTCTGCCTCTGGGATACCCAAGTAAACAAAGCAAAGATCCTTGCCCCTGTGGAGTTTAAGTTCTATAATATGAAATAAATGCACCAACATATTTTCATCTAAATATTGCAGGTTTGGCTACAGACCCTGATATATGTGTAATGAAACTTGACATGTCTCAGAGAAGGAATAGTGGAGTAGCAGATGTAGGGGACAGGTGTTCCCTGTTGGGAGACAATTCTCCATGGGTTCCTTGTATTTCAGCACATCTTGCAAGTAGAGACACTAACTGCATTTGTGCTGGACTAGATTTTCAAGTAAACTGCTTTGGAAGGTGATAGTGTCTCCCTCTATAGCATGAGCAGGTTTATTTACTATTAAACATAATAATACCTTCTGCTGCGGCAACAGTCAGGCCGACTTACTAACCATTATAAAAGATTCATGTTCCCAAAGCTTGGGGATTTTTTTTGTAACACACTGTGTGTGTGTGTGTGTGTGTGTGTGTGTGTGTGTGCATGCGTGCATGCAGGTGTCATCTGGTCCCCTTATTTTCCTAAGGGAATTGGGAATCTGGTGCAAATGCTGATACTGTAGCTACTGCTATTGGTGTGAGTAAAGAACTGGCCTTTGTCTCTAACCCAAGATTCTTGTGTCTTTTGCCAGCCCATTAAACTGTGGTAGACTAATTTGTTAACTTGAAAGTAGGGGAAAATCTCACATCCTTCACAGGTCTTGACATGAGTCAAGTGACAAACTAAAAAATGGGGACTTTTTAGTTGAGAAAGACAATGACCAAAGGAGTGGAGGATGAGGCTGAAGTCTATAAAATGAATAAAAGTAAACTTGGTTGTATTCACCAGTTTTGAATATTAAGTGAAGGGATGAATCCTTGACATTTGAGAGAGGTAAGTTTAGGTCAATTAGAAAGGAATTTCCTCACATAGAGGATACTAACCTTATAGAACTTACCATCTCAATAAGTGGTGCTGGCTGAAACTACAGATTATTTTATAAAAGGCCTCACTAAAGTGATGGATGACAAACCATGTATTGATGTATTGACTGATGCCCAGTTCAATATATATTTGATGACCGAGTGTTTGCCAAGTGACCAGCGACAAGATGATCTCATTATCTGTCAGAGAAGAACTACTGGGAAAAGTCATTAATCTGACCCAACAAGGGCCATTTTTAATCTACAAAATGGGAAATAGACTCTTTACTACTTTATCTAATTTTAGTTTTTACTATGGATACACATACATAAACATATACATTTGGGATATGTAAGTATAAAAATCTCCTTTATAACAAGCTATAAATCACAATAATCCTAATTCATAAATGTTAAACAATCCTGGTAAAATATGCTCCTATTTTAGAGCAGCTGTTTCCCAAACTGGATGTGAAGAATACTTCCAGGTAATTTTAAGAGATATATCCTGAAAAAAAAGTCCCATGGTCAAATATGTTTGGGGAGCTATGCACTATATGTATATATATCTTTGGAAATTCACAATTTACATTAATAATAGGGCTTTGTTAAGTCCCGAGTCACAGAAACCTTTGTTTAACCCAGTGTTTCCCAAATTATTTAGTATTGACCCATCATTT